GACCAAACAAGCCAATAGTGCTCGTCTTTAAATATCATATCAATTTTCTAATATCTTCTTCACAAGGTGAGAACTCCTATTCGACTGCTCTTAAAATAGGAATTGAAGCACATTTATACGTCTGAAGAGTGGACCAAATTACCAAAAGGGGCTTGACAAAATGAGGACTCTTGGTAAAGAAATCAACATTCCCATCGACCCTGATCATTTTTTGATCCTATTTAGTCTCTCTCTCTATATATATATATATATATATATATATTTTTTTTTTTTAAATATTTCCATAATTTCTTTTGTACACATTCTTCATTTAAATATAAGTATACTATTTATTTAAATTTTAAACATTGCTACGCTTGTAAAAATTATTTAAAGGGCCTCATAATAAATAATCTTCTAGGATCTCGAAATTTTTTGTATCGACCCTGATCATATTTGATCGGAACCTTAAAATACTTGTTCGAAATATAGGAGGAAAATAAACCTTCTCGTCTGTTTTTAGGTACATAGACCTGAGGAAACCATGACAGGCATTTGCAAAACAGGCAATTGAGTGGATCACTGTAGCTGCATAGACATGAACACCTCTAACACATGCCGGAGTTTGTTGGGCTAACAATTGGGCCACACAGTAATATCATAAGAAAAAATGGGGCCCACGAGCCCAAGAAAGATTCCTTTGTGCCAAGTTCGTGGATCCCAGTAAAATCATTTTAACTCGTTTCTAAATAATATTGCCTTTTCACTATCAATATAATTAAAATAATAAAATTGTTATATTTAAATTGTTTAACAATATTCTTCGAGTTGTTTTTACCTCTCAAGGCCGTAAACAATAATTTCTTCGCAACCCTAGCATGTCCCATGATTTGATGTTTCGTTTAGATGATAGCCATACTTGAATTAAGGTATTCTACGGACGATGAAAATAAATTTGTATATATGTCATTTTAACATGTTGAATATGTGATTTAATGGTGTGTTTGAGCTCCATTATTTGGCCTTATAATGAGATGAATAATTTTTTTTGAAAAATGAATGGTTGAAATTTTTTTGATTTATGTGTAATATTATTTTATTGAAGATTGTGTGGTTAAAAGTAGGAGAGGGAAAATTTTAATTTAATGTGATGAGAAATAATGGGGCTCAAATGGGGGCTAAATGAATACAAGACGTTAATTTATCAAGGTTGTAAATGAAGATTTCTTTTCAACTTGAACCGCCCCTGATTTGGCACTTTGTTTAGACGACGGTCATACTTGAATGAAGGTATTCTATTAGCCCTGGTAATAAAACATTGTGTATATGTTGTTACGTCCCTATCTGAACCACTTCGAAAAGTCTACCATCGCGTTATACGAGGTGTTCAACACCCATTCGAAGTGGTTCTGAAGTGACGTCACCATCAATGTTGTCGATCTGCTAACGCACTACAAGGCACAGACAATTTACTGAACCGATCGAAGCATCCTCGCCCTTGAAGCCAAGACGCATTACATTTCGAGATTCTTTGTCAGAGGATTATCCGCCAATTTCAGAAAGAGATCTGTGTCAAGATTCTTTCTGCCCCAAGGTTTAATTGATTTGACGTCTCCATGAGCCTAGTTAACGTGATGTATCAACTTTATGTCAACTTAACTCGAGAGAAGTAATTATCCACCCACTCTATAGATGCGGTTGATTGACGCCTATGAGTAGACGCCTCATACCGTCAGATGCATACACGTGTCCCACATCCAAGGGTTCTCCTCAACTATAAATATCCAACGTTTGGCAAGAGGTAAAAGGTAATGAAACTCTTACAACTTAACTCTCCATAACAAGTAAATATATATTCTCTTCCCCACCCTTTTGTACAACCTTGGTACTGTTCCGATCACTTGGGGCTAACTTGATTGTTGGAGTGTATGCGACCGCCGCCACCCCGCTGGTCCCGACCGTGTACATCTGACCATGCGTTGATTGTGTGCAGGAAGGAATACATGAAGTAGCTATCAGTTGGTCACGTGAATGGTCCAATTTGCGAGGTCAACATATGTCATCATACCTCAATGATGAATTTCAAATGCTTCGTTTGGACATGACGTGTTGAATATGAAATTTAAATGAATACATGTGCTTAATCTCTACTAACTTAAAACTTTTTGTACGAGAAAGTTACAAAATTGCTCAGTGCTCGATATGAGAGATTTACAAAATCTCTAATAACAAAGATTTCTTTTCAACTTGAGCCCGACATCATATATCGACTGGACGGCTGCAAACTTGAACCCGAATACTTTATTTGGCCATGATAATTAACTTTGTCCACATGTCAAATCTTTAATTTAAAAAAAAATAAAAAAGGTTCAATCTTAGTCCGGATGTGTGAGAACAAAACTAAGCCCCCGTTTGATTTTTATTTTTTGATCACAAAAATAAAAAATATGATCGTTATTTATCATATCAAGTCATCATATTTGACTTGACATCATTTTAATCACACATTTTTCACTAAAATAATATTACACGTAAATCTATAACTTTTATTTATTTTTTAACCACACATTTCCATCAATACACTATTCAAAAATTCATTTTCTCCCCAAAAATGGGGTTCAAACAAGGCCTAAATTTTTTAATAGATTGTGATAGAAGCTTTTGAAATGTGTGGTTGAAAAGTTATGGGGTTTATAAAAGATATGATTAATATTAATTATTTAACTTTAATTTAAATTAAAATCTAATTTTAATCCGTACCAAAAGGTCTCTTAAACGAGGTCACTTGCTCCGCCGGTACACTTAAAAAAGTCCATTTGCCCATACTTTTTTAGTACAGACAAGTTGAGGGGCTCAAATGATAATTTTCTTTTCTCTACTTTACATTTTCCAATGCCAAGACAATACTCTTTGAGTATGAAATTAGTCTCGGGGCTTGCAATTGGAATTTCTGTTTTAATGGAATTAAAAATTAATATAAAAAGATTAAAAAATGTTTAAATAAAGAATTAAACCAGTTATGAGTAAGTGTGTGCTAGAGAATATTCAGCTTTTCCAATGCGACAAAAATACCCTTGGGTTTGTGTGTTCACAATTGAGCAAATTAAGGCATCAATATAAAAATAATTATGGACTTGTTTCTTCATAGTTGTTCTTAGATTGGGTGATTTGTCCTAAATGTCCTCCAACTATAAAATTCATAATTTTCAGTTTTTTAACTCGCTACATTTTAATTTTTTATATTCTCTAGTCTCAAAAGTTCGAATAAAAGAAGTTAATTGTATTATTTTACATTTATTACGTATTTTTAAAATGAGCCCGAACATCGATATGAAAAAAAGGTTAAAGTCAAATCATTGAATTAGTGGCAAAAATTAAATAAAACATTTGTTCTTTGTATAAAATATAACTTGAAAAATCGGTAAAATCGATTTCTGGGAAAGCTAATTGGTTGTTTAGTTTTTTTTTCTTATTAATTTTTCTTTGCAACCAAACCAAATTCCGATTGAATCTGTAGACCTGCTTAATTCTCATGAATATTACACTATTGAAATTGAAACAAATTAATTTTGAAATCATTTCCTCTGTTAAAGCAACTATAACGGCATCAATTCCCATCAAATACTAAACAGAAATCTACTTACAAACACTTTGAGGTCGTTCGTTTTTTAAAATCTTTTTAGTTGGGTGGAATACAAGTACTTGACTTTGATAAAATTTTATTCAATTAATATTTAGGGTATGTTTGAGCCAATTATTTTTATAAAAAATATATTTTTAAACAGTGATTTAACATCATTTTAATTATATATTCTTCAATAAAATAATATTACATGCAGATTAAAAAATTTTTCTTATTTTTTAACCACACATTTCTCAATAAATACACTATTTAATAATACATTATTACCAAAATAACGTGGCTCAAACACCTCGTTACTCTACAAGGGCATGAGGGCATTTTGGAGACTTTTCCTCTGTCACAAATACACACAAGACACACAGTCACGGAATCCAAGAAAAGAATATGGTAAACATAAGAGTTGTTTCATGGGAATTCTAAATATTCATTTTTTGTTTACCCCTCTACTATTTACCTAATCACTACACCAACTTGTCTTAACAATACATTATTGTATAATAAGTTAATTAGCATGAATAATTTTATTATTATTATTAATTTTTTTTTATTATTTTGGCTATTTCATCCCATCATCATATTATTTATAAAGATGCAATAGTCACCTTGCTATTTCATCATCTCCTTGGCCCCACTAACCTTTTGTTTTCAATCTTCATTTTTTAACTGCGTTGTGTAAATCTTTTTCAATTTTTAATGTGCATAGTGCTAGACTTATAGTAACATGAAATTATACAAAATTATTGTTAATTTTGCATTTAAAATTATAGAAATACCCTTTTCTTTGATAAAAGGGAAAAAAATAAGACAAAAAAAATCATATTCAACATCTATCAAGTTCCACCTCTAACACCCCTATCGTATCACTTTCACGACTTGAAATTTTGGTCAGCTAGCATCATTATCGTGACCATACTTAATGCTAATATTTTGCTCTTAAGCTATGTAAATAATGTCTATGCAACAAAAGTGGATAGAACTGTGAAACATTGAAATTAAAGTTTATGAACTCAATCATAACAAATTAAGGATCTATTTGATAGGGATTTTGAGAATTGATTTTTTGACCTTTAGGGGAAAAGTGGGGATCATCTATGAGAGAAGGAGTCAAAAATTACGACTGAAATAGTGAAATTATGGTAAAAAAATCAATTTTTTTAGATAAAAAATCACTCTCAAACGGGACCTAAAGTTGAAGGACCTAATTGAGATTTTGATAAAGAGTAAAAGATCAATCAGTAACAAATAAAAGGCGCACTGTAGTATGGTGGGCCCTATCTGCCTAAACGTAAGATAACAAAAATCATTTTAAAACTGCAAGAAAAAATTCAAAAAGTTGAAAAGCCAACAGAGACTAGGACAAGCCAAGCATGTGACCTGCCAATAACATATCTGCAAGAATTTCCTTTGCTTTTTGCTTTTAAGATAGTCTCACTGTTCTATCTAATCAATCCCACACACCCCTTCAGTCCAAATCACTGAATAAATAGCATTAAATTTCCTTTTTGTTCACCTAAAATCAAAAGATTTGCACATTTAAGACTGTCTTTTGTTTCGAATTATTTTATTCATTTCACAGTGTCCACATATGCATCTGGGAAGGTCTGGCCTTATGTTTTGGACTTTTTGTATTTTTCTGGTAAATCGCACAGTATGGTAGTAACATGCTTCAGTTACAGCTGGATAAAGATTTTGAAGCTAATCTTGAACGAATTTGGTGTGAAGAAGCTAAAATTCATTTCCATATAGGCAAATAGAATTTCGTAGGGATCAGTTACAATCCCAGATCTCAAGACTCTTAAGAATTTCAGGCTCAGTTTTCTGCTCTTTCTCAAGAAATTGCCCTTCATTTTCTTGGATTTTCTCCTGTCTATTTTAGCATAATTCTTTGTAATTGTGCAAGACTGCAAATTTATCATCTGGGCTCTGTTTTATCTCAAGTTTATGCACTCTTTGAGCTCAAAAGTGGAATTTTGAGCTTCTTGTGGAGAAAAATAAGATTTCTCTATAGGGTAATCAGAAAATGTGGAGGCGGTTAATTCATGTGAGAATGGCTTATTCTATGGAGGAAGCCAAGATTGTGCGAAGCTAAATTGGAGTGAGTATTATCTGAGAATGGAAAGTAACAAATCTCTACTTTGGAAAGTGGGATTGGTGGTTTTGGCATTGATAGAGGGTTCTTATTCAACACTATCTCCTTCTGGTATCAACTATGAAGGTCTAGTTCTTTCTTTGTGTTTCTCTTTTGATTTGATTTATTTACTTCTACGTTTGATTGTAGTAGAATTGGTCAAGAATCCATTTTCCCTCCTTCTGTATTTGGAGTTTGAAATACTATGGCCTCAAATATATATATACATACAATTTTTTTTTCTTTTTTTTGGATGATATATATCTCTAATTTTGAAGATTGAATTCTTTTTCTTTTCTTTTATACAGTTGTAGCTTTGATGGCTATAAAGAGTGATTTACACGATCCACATGAAGTTTTGGAAAATTGGGATGCTAATTCTGTAGATCCTTGTAGTTGGAGGATGGTTACTTGTTCCCCAGATGGATATGTTTCTGCTTTGTAAGTTGGCCTCCCATTCTATTTATTTTTAGAGAAATGACTGTTGTAACTCTTTATTCTTGAACAATATGTGCTCAAATGTACAATTTTTTGTTGGTCTTCATCGTTGTTAGAGGATTACCTAGTCTGAGTTTGTCCGGAACCTTATCAGCTGGAGTTGGGAACCTCACTAACTTGCAGTCTGTGTAAGTTTTCTAATGTCATTGTTATCCAGCTTTAATTATATGCTGTGTTTATTTTCCTTTATTGCATTGTAGTTGGATGAACTACTACGCAGAGCTTTCTATACTTTTACTTATCTCCTCGACTGCGATAAGTTCGCTGGGTGTTGCAGGATGGCGGTAGGCCACTCTAATTTAGGGGAGGGGGTTCATTTTTTTCTTTGAGATAAGACAGATGTGAGGAAAATCTGTTGGGATAATTTAGTGTTTTAAATTACCGGATCTTTCATGTTAAATTATCAAGAAATACTAAAATTAAAGTGGAAGCGTACCTGAATCAGACATAGTTAAAGTCTTCCAAATTTACACGCAGTCTCGTTTTCCTCTCTATGATGAGATGCAGTAGAGAATGAATAATACGTGCGTGTGATCTGGGGACCATAACCTATTTATATAGGGACGTCCTTTGACCTAATTTGGCCCATCATAGAATTAGGATGTGGGCCCGGTCTCTACACATATGTAAACCCATACTTTAATTGGATACATTAAAGCCCAAAATCGAAGCGTTATTAGATCACTTTAATTGGGCTCAACCGAATTCGATAGCCTATAATTTAATACACAATTATTCACACATACAAGCCCATCTTTAATTAAAAATCCTTATAATCTTCCACTTGGGCTATATGTGTCACCTTATAATTGTGCACTAAACATAACCTTATGAGTACTCAGAATTTTGCTATCATTACCGAATGTATCCCCAAACAATTCTGTCCATCAATCATATCAACATAGGATCAAAGCGGCTTTCGCTACTTTCACGTAGTTAAACCCATCAATGGTCACGTATATCAATATAACCGAATGACATGGATCAAGCATGGATGTGTAGCATGCAAATTACATGTAATGTGATCTGTAATATGTCTATTTTCAACTGATTCACCTTAATACCTTAGTGAGATTATTTTAAACAAGTTCAGAGAAAATTAACCAAATAACTTTATAACTGAAAATAACTTTAACTTTAAATCGTATTCAAAATAATAGTACATGTGTCCAATATGAAAAGCAAAAAATACAAATACCCACTGAAACTAGATATCCTCAAGAGACATTACACCCATATGAGCAGTGTGCTCATGAAAGACCTTGGGTATCAATCCCTTAGTAAGCGGATCCGCAACCATGAAGTTTGTTCCAATATGCTCTATTGACACCTGTCCACTCTGAACTCTTTCTTTAACTGCTGATTTATTGTCACAAAATATCTTAAGTGGTCTTTCTATATTGTCCACAATACACAGCCCAGTGACAAAATTACGCAGTCATATTCCATGATTTGATGTCTCATAACACGCTATAAACTCCGCTGCCATAGTGGGAGTAGCTATGAGTGTCTGCTTGGCACTCTTCCAGGAAATAGCACCTCCAGCAAGCAGGTAAATATAGCCTGAAGTGGATCTCCTACTATCTTGGCATCCCGCGAAATCGGAATCAGAATAACCGATGATCTCCAACTGATCCGATCTCCAATATGTGAGCATGTAGTCTTTTGTTCTCTGTAAATACCGCATGACCCGTTTGGCTGCTTTCCAATGATCCATTCCCAGGTTACTCAAATATCTCCCTAGCATCCCAACAATGTACGCTATATCTGGACGCGTATAAACTTGAGCATACATCAGACTCCCTATAGCTGAGGAATAAGGAATCTTCTGCATTTTTTTAATTTCCAAGTCATTTTTAGGGCACTGACTTAAGCTGAACTTGTCTCTTTTAGCCACAGGGGTGTCACATGGTTTACAATCTTGTATGCCATATCTTTTAAGTACCTTTTCGATATAACTCTTTTGTGATAATTCAAGAATACCTCGAGAACGATCTCGGTGTATCTAAATTCCTAATACAAAAGAGGCATCACCAAAATCTTTCATCTCAAAATTCTTTGCTAGTAATCTCTTGGTTTCGTGCAATAAGCCTATATCATTGCTGGTAAGCAATATGTCATCGACATATAAAACCAGAAAAATATACTTGCTCCCACTGAACTTGTGGTATACTTGTGGTATATACAATTATCGACCAAATTCATCTCAAAACCAAATGAGATGATCATCTGATGAAACTTGTAATACCATTGACGAGACGCCTATTTGAGTCCATAGATGAATTTCTTTAATTTACAAACCATTTGCTTTGCATCGTCCGATGCAAAGTTTTCTGGTTGTACCATATAAATTGTTTCATCAATGTCACCATTGAGAAACGCTGTTTTAACATCCATCTGATGTAGCTCAAGATCGAAATGCGCTATCAATGCCATTATAGTCCTGAAAGAGTTTTTCGAAGAAACCGGAGAGAAAGTCTCTTTATAATCGATGCCTTCTTTATATGTAAAGCCCTTTGCGACAAGACGAGCCTTATACCTATCTATATCACCTTTCAAATCCCTCTTGGTCTTAAATATCCATTTGCAACCAATGGGTTTCGCACCTTCAGGCAATGGAACGAGGTCCCATACGTCATTGTCCTTCATGGACTTTATCTCTTCATTCATAGCATCGAGCCCCTTTTGAGAGTTAGAACTTTCCATGGCTTGACGGAAGTTGATCGGATCATCTTCCACCATTCCAATATCAACTTCATGTTCTTGAAGAAATACGATGTAATCATTCGAAACCGCACTTCTCCTCTCTCTAGTGGATCTTCTTAATGACATTGGTTCTCGAGGCTGTAGAGTTTGTTCTTCTGGAACAATTTGTTGATCTTGAGAGGGGTATGACATTATCTTGATCCAGAGTTGCTTTTTGAACAATATCAAGGATAGAAACCTGATCATTGTCAATGACAATTGGAGGAATTTCAACATATTCCTCCTCAAAGACAAAGCCTGTAACCCTTTCTCCCCCCGCAAACTCAACATCCTCAAAGAACCTAGCATTTCCTGTCTCGAAAATTGCCTTAGTTGTGGGATCATAAAACTTGTAACCCCTGGACCTTTCAGAATATCTAATGAAATAGCAACTGATGGTCCTTGCATCCATTTCCTTTTCATTTGGCTTATAGGGCCTTGCCTCAACTGGACACCCCCAAATATGTATATGCTTCAAACTAGGCTTTTTGCCCGTCCAAAGCTCATATGGGGTTTTATTAATGGCCTAAGTTGGAACTCTGTTGAGTATATAAGCTGCAGTCTTTAATACTTCACCCCAGAGAGATTCTGGTAAGGAAGAATAACTAATCATACTCCTCACCATGTCCTTAAGCGTTCTGTTTCGTCTCTCAGCAACACCATTCATAGTGGGCGAACCCGGCATAGTGTACTGTGGGACGAGACTGCATTCCTCTAGGAATTTAGCAAATGGTCCTGGACGCTGTTCACCAGAACCGTCATATCTCCCATAGTATTCACCCCCACGGTCAGATCTGACGCTTTTAATCCTTTTGCTGAGTTGGTTCTCAACTTCAACTTTATAGTTTTTGAACACATCCAGTGACTGTGATTTTTCATGAATGAGATATACGTAGCCATATCTTGAAAAGTCGTCTATGAAAGTTATAAAATATTGTTGACCATTCCAAGAACCCGTAGGGAATGTTCCACAAATATTCGTATGTATAAGTTCTAAGACATTCGAAGTCCTATTGGCTTGAAATCTCCTTTTATTGGTTTGTTTTCCCTTTATACAGTTGACACACAAATCATAATCTGTGAAGTCAAGAGGGTCGAGAATCCCGTCAGACACAAGTCTCTCAATTCTCCTTTTGGAGATGTGACCTAATCTCTTGTGCCACAACGAGGCAAAATTTTTGCCGTTTAATTTTCGCTTTACACCTCGAGTACTTACATGCAAGGTTTTATTAGAAGAAGTAATTATATCAATTGAATAAAGATTATCGTAGTTTGATAAAGAATTGGAACCAACCAATTTTGAATCATGAAACAGACTAAATATTCCATTTTCAAATGAACAAGTATAACCAAATTTGTCCAAAACAGAAATAGAAATCAAATTCCGTCTAAAAGACGGTACAATAAATGTCTCAACAAGATTCAAATAAAATTCAGTCTTTAACAATAATCTAAATTTTTCTATTGCCTCTACTTTTACCTTCTTGCCGTCTTCAGCATAGATGTATCTTTCACCATCACTTGGTTTTCGGCAACTCAGGCAACCCTGCATAGACATACTGATGTGAGTTGTTGCACCAGAATCTATCCACCATGTATGTCTAGGTACCGAAGTTAAATTAACCTCAAAACAAACCAAATGAAGAAGAGTACCTTTCTTTACACGCCATGCGTGGTAATTGGTGCAATTCTTCTTCTTATGACCTGCAGCTCCACAGAAGAAACAACCGCCTTCAGTTGGTTTCTTATGCCGTTTCTTTTGTGGTGCCGTACTCGCAGCTTCCTTATTAATCTTCCTTTTCTTGTTGCTTTTGTCCTTAGAGGTAGTGGCTAAATGAGCACTTTCTGTCTTCTCATGCTTCAGTCTTTCCTCTTCCTGGACACAGTGTGAGATGAACTCATTAAGGGACCATGAGTCCTTTTAACAGTTGTAGCTCACCTTGAATTGACTGAAATGTGCCGGAAGGAATATCAGAACCAAGTGCACCAATAAGTTTTCAGATAAATCCAACTTTAGTACCTTTAGTTTTGAAGCAATGTAAGACATTTCCATAATGTACTCCCGAATGTTTCCTTTCCCTTTATACCTCATTGAGACAAGATTTGCCAAAAGTGTACTTGCTTCAACCTTTTCATTCTTGGCAAACCTCTTCTCAAGGTCCTCAAGAAAACCCTTAGCCGTAGTCACCTTATCGGACATAGTGCCCCGGAATGCTTCTGGAATAGCACACTTCATGACCATTAAGCTTATGCGGTTCGATCGTTCCCACTTTTCCATCTCCCTCTTGTCATCAGAGGTACTCTTATCAGTAAGTGCAGTAGGTTGATCGACTCGTAAAGCAAGGTCTAGGTCCATGACTCCGAGAACAATCATCGCATTCTCTTGCCAAGCCCTGAAGTTTGTGCCATTTAGCATTGGAATTGAATTGATGCTAGCAGAGATATTAGCAGTAGAACCTGAAACTAAATTAGGGAACGATTATTATGAGTAGCTTACTTTGAATATCTTTAATATGCAAATAATAATAATAATCTCAAATAGTGATAGGGCCCATCACAAGATACCAAGCACAACATCAATATCCAGTCTTTGGACAGAGATATTGACTTGTAAGCGGTACTCTTGGCGTAGTGATCAAACATTGACGATAAAACAACTTGTTAATCAATAAACCTTTTTTTGAACCGATTTATTGATCACACATTAAACCAAATAATCGTCACACGTTTATCACCACAGGTGCACGTGTATTCGGCTAAATATTGACCTTCCTTTGGGCCGACCAATATTCCCATGAATAATACATGCACAAACACTTTTTAACATTCTAAGTTAGTCAATTTTCACAAGAGAGGTTGTTTTGGCAACATGTTGCTTCAATTAACTAATTTTCGAATATCATATCTCTTAAAAGAGTTTTTAGTACCAAAATTTGAGAAAGAGAATCATCAGTTTTGCATATTTTGATTAGTTTTAAACTTTAGGGGCCTTAGGATTAATAATTCAAAACTTTAAGGGGGCAAAATTAATTAATTTCAAACTTTAGAGGTTGAAATTAATAAACTTGAAACTTTATGGACCATAATGAATTAATTCAATACTTTAGAGGATCAATTAGAACAAATTTTAAAACTTTAGGGGCCAAAATTGACTAATTCAAAACTTTAGGGATCAAATTTTAAAAATTTGAAACTTTAGGGGTCAATTTGAATTAATTATGAACTTAGGGGGCCAATTTGAATTAATAATTAAATTTTGAGGGCTTTAATTATAAATTCAGAACTTTAATGGCCCAAATTAATTAATTTTAAACCTTAGGGATTGAATTATTAAATCCAAAACTTAAAGGCCCAAATCTTAATATAACTTAAAGGTTAGAGACTGAAACCTTAAATTTATAACCCTAACCCTAATTGCAACCAGGGGCTTCAACTTTCCTAATTTATAGAGGAAGCCCCCGCCCCCAAAATTTGGCAGAAGCTGAAAACCAACCAAAAAAATTTCTTTTCTCCTTCTTCTGGTGGCAGCGCACCTGTCGGCGCCTGTAGCACGCCCAGCGCTGCTACCCCACGCAGCAGCGCCGGCTACGTAGTCGGTAGCGGCGCCACTGCCGCTGCCGGAATATATTTAATTTTTTTTTTTTATATAAAAAAAAAAATTGTACTGAAATCTGAATAAAAAAATCCGAATTCCAAATCTAAATTTTCTCAACCATTAATCCGAATTTCGAAAATAACAAGAATTATACCGTAAAAATTTTTCAAATTTAACAAAATATATAACTAAAAATTGTTAAATGTGAAAATTTCAAAATATATTGCAAGAACCAAACTAAAATTATTCGATTCTTAATGATTCAACATGAAAAGGTTCTGATACCACTTGTTGGATAATTTAGTGCTTTAAATTACCGGATTTTTCATGTTAAATCATCAAGAAATACAAGAATTAAAGCGGAAGCGTACCTGAATCAGACATGGTTAATGCAATATGAATTTCGCGGTATAGTGTTCTAAATCTACACGCAGTCTCATTTTCCTCTCTGTGATGGGATGCAGTGGAGAATGAATAATATGTGTGTGTGATCGGAGGACCATAACCTATTTATATAGGGAATCCCTTTGACCTAATTCGGCCCATCATAGAATTAGGATTTGGGCCCGGTTTCTACACATATGTAAACCCATACTTTAATTGGATACATTAAAGTCCAAAATCGAAACCTTAGTAGATCACTTTAATTGGGCTCAACCGAATTCGATAGCCTATAATTTAACACAATTATTCACACATACAAGCCCATCTTTAATTAAAAATCCTTACAAAATCTTGTATGGAGGAGGGTGTACGATTATAAATATACTTGTTTTTCTGTCTTCCATTTGGCTCATTATTGCTCTCTGGGGATTTGGCTTATACTTAATAGTTGTATGTGAATCTTCCCCTCAAGTAAAATTTTGAGCTTGAAGATAAGTAACTCCCAGTCTTAAATGTGCTGTCCTTTGATGGCTAATGCAGAAGCCGTGATGTTATGACTAAGGTTTTCACATGCCTCTGTAGGTTGCTGCAAAACAATGACATTTGGGGTCCTATTCCTGCTGCAATTGGGAAGTTACAGAAACTTCAGACACTTGATCTCTCCAACAATAAATTTAATGGTGAACTTTCGAGTTCTCTCGGGGACCTGAAGAGTTTGAATTACCTGTGAGTTTTATGGACTTTGCCAATCTTGACTAGCTAAAGATTTTGCAATTGGATATTTCCATTGACTTTGGATTGGCTCGTGTAATTGTTCTTCTTTGTGCAAGACAGACGCCTCAACAACAACAGCTTTACTGGATCAATTCCCGACTCTCTGTCTAAACTCGAAAGCCTCTCTCTGGTGTATGCTTTCATGCCTTTCTTGGTTCTACCTGTTTCTCAAACTGATGTTGAATTATCTAGGGAAGAAATTAAGTTTGTTACTTTAATGTTTGTGTTAAACACTGACAATAATTAATTGATCGCAGGGACCTATCTTTCAATAATGTGAGTGGTCCCTTGCCAAAAGTTTCTGCTAGAACATTCAAGTAAGTTACTCCATCCATACCGATTAGTATGCTAGTCACGTAGAATAAGTTACTAATTTGAAGTAATCATATCGCTTTACATGACTTTCAGAATAGTTGGCAATCCATTGATTTGCGGGCAGAATTCTGAAAACAATTGTTCAGCCGTCTATCCAGAACCGTTGTCCTTCCCTCCAGATACAGTGAAAGGTATGTATTCTATCCTCTGATGTTGGTGAGTTCAGACACACGAAGAAATAGTAAGAGAAAGAAAAAGTCCTTCGACAGTGCTGTTTTATGTATTAAGAGTAGATTGTTTTATATTTATATTTGATTTCTAGGTCAATCAGAATCTGGTGTCAGAAGTCATCATGTTGCCGTTGCTTTTGGTTCAAGCTTCAGTGCAGCCTTAATAGTTATAGTTGTAATTGGGTTGCTTGTTTGGTGGCGATATAGACACAATCAGCAGATTTTCTTTGATGTTAATGGTACTTCATTACATTTCCATGTACTATTTGGATGTGCTTTTCATGATACATATTCGTATTATTCTAAACTCCATATAGCTGTATGCTTTACAATACAATACTATAGCGTACTTTTAGAATCCTAGTGTACGAAAACTAATTTACGATAAAATAAGAACGTTCTACATGTGAATATTACAGGGGACCTTTTAAATAAAATAACTGTTATCTTTGATTAGTGCATGTTTGTCAAAGCTTATAATAATGTGGGATTAAAAAGTAGATAGAAGTTGTGGATCCTACAAAATTTGTCGATAAAATTAAGTTTGACCCGTTTATGAACAATTGTATGCTTTGATAAACATGCACTAAATAGTGCTTTGATTTACGTTCCCTAGAATCAACAGCAGAATAATCATCATTAGTTACTTTTGCTCTTAATGTATTATATATCTTTATCTGTGAGCCTGGCCCTTTTCTCTTCCCTTCGTTTGTTAGACATAGTGTTATCCTTCACTTTTTCCTTCTTTAGTCGGCCTTTTGACCAATGTCATGTTGATTGGCAGATCAATATGATTTAGAGGTATGCTTGGGTCATTTAAGAAGGTTTACTTTTAAGGAACTCCGAGCTGCAACCGACCATTTCAGTTCAAAGAATATTTTGGGAAAGGGAGGGTTCGGGATTGTGTACAAGGGCAGCTTAAGTGATGGGACTGTGGTAGCTGTCAAAAGATTGAAAGACTATAATGCTGTTGGCGGCGAAATTCAGTTTCAGACAGAAGTAGAAACAATTAGTCTTGCTGTTCATCGGAACCTCCTCCGCCTTTGGGGTTTTTGCTCAACCGAAAATGAGCGCCTTCTAGTCTATCCNACAATTAGTCTTGCTGTTCATCGGAACCTCCTCCGCCTTTGGGGTTTTTGCTCAACCGAAAATGAGCGCCTTCTAGTCTATCCGTTTATGCCAAATGGGAGTGTGGCCTCTAGATTGAAAGGTTTGGCTCTTTGTATATGTGCTTTTGTTTTTTTAATCAATTCTCAAACCATATAATGCATGTTTGGCAGTCTGGACAGTAGTGGACATGATTGAAAAATACACTAACCAAGATTTTTAACTTCTTTTTCTTCCTTAATAGTGTCCAATATTATCCAACCTAGCATCATTACCAGGTCTGATGGATGTTATAAATTATATTTCTTTCCAGATCATGTACATGGACAGCCAGTATTAGACTGGTTGAGGCGAAGAAGAATAGCCTTAGGAACTGCGAGGGGGCTAGTATATTTGCACGAACAATGTGACCCCAAAATTATCCATCGTGATGTCAAAGCAGCCAACATTCTGTTGGACGAAGACTTTGAGGCGGTAGTTGGGGATTTTGGATTGGCAAAGCTATTGGATCACCGGGATTCTCATGTTACAACAGCTGTTCGTGGAACTGTTGGCCACATTGCTCCTGAGTATCTGTCAACAGGTCAATCATCAGAGAAAACCGATGTGTTTGGGTTTGGAATCTTACTTCTTGAGCTCATCACGGGACAGAAGGCTGTGGATTTTGGCCGGGGTACCAACCAGAAAGGTGTAATGCTTGATCGGGTAAGTTTATCTCTATCTCTCCCCGGACACAAATTACTTGCATTTTTGTTTGCATTGTGCACATTATTTGTGGGGCCAGTTTATATTACCTTATGGCACCTATTATGGCTATGTTGAAGTTTACTGCAATTTTGTACTAGACTTTTTGCAGTATTGTATTGTTATTTGTTGTATATTAAGAAATTTGGTAAAGGTTACAGAGTATTGCAATTTCTCAAAATTCATATATCCGTTTTCTTGGCATAATGCATATGCACATCACCCTTGCACCTGCTTTTCCATTGGAACGTCAATCTGCATTTTTTTGTAATTATATCGTCATTTAGTGGATTGAGAAATTCAACACTCTAAATGTATATTGTGTAATGCCTAATTACACTGTTTACTTATCTTAGTTTCTCAATTATGTAAAGGATATTAGGTGGATATATCGAGAGGGAGATTTCCATTGTAAACTTCTTCTCAAAGTTTTAGTAAAATCTGCAGTTGCGAGTGGATATAGCTATCACTTTAAGATTAACATTATATATCTATGTGATCCTTTGCGTTTACTTGTTTTTGTTTGCTTATTATTGCTCTCAGAATTAATTATTAAGGTTTAATCCATGATATGTACAATTTTCCCAGGTGAAGAAGCTCCATAAAGATGGGAAACTGAATCTTATGGTGGACAAAGATTTAAAGAACAATTTCGACAAAGTTGAACTGGAAGAAATTGTTCAAGTTGCGCTCCTTTGTACACAATTCAATCCTACACACCGTCCTAAGATGTCTGAAGTTTTAAGGATGTTGGAAGGCGATGGCCTAGTCGAGAAATGGGATTCGTGCCAGACAGTCGACACTCCAAGGTATCCTGCTTACGAAAATCATCCTCAGAAATATTCTGAATTCATTGAAGAATCATCTCTTGTGGTTGAGGCAATGGAACTCTCTGGCCCAAGATAACAGTCAGTTTTGTTTCTTTCTTCTGTATACATGTTCTTTTTTCTATGCCATTAATTTTCTAAGCTTGAAATGAGAAATATAGACTGTAACTATCACCTGCATGTATTCATCCTGTAAAAAGAAGAGAAAGCCATGTACATTCTGTGTTTTTTACCTCCAGCATGCTAGATTTTCGCAGTTGTGTCAAAAGGGTAAAGTGAATGGCCCGATACAGCCCTTTTTGTGGCAGGACGAGCTGGTTTGTAACATCTGTTTTTTTTTTTTTT